AATGTGGTATCTTAGCCCCATACGCTTGTTTGTTCCCTCACTGTACCTACAGAGCTACAAGAAAATACCTATTGGCCAGTCATCTGAAAATTAAGCATAATATATTTTCGAATATCTAAGTTATGGCAGGCAAGTTATCGTATTCAGTTTGTGATGCATAATAGCAATTTAATTTATATTTCCTGATATGTAATAAACCTCTAGGTGTTTTAAAAAGAATCATTTGTAGTAAATAATGTCTATTGTTACTTGCCATTTTAACATTTTTGTATATGATACACTTAAATAGTATAAGTCCAAGGCGTGGATAAATTAAGTTACGTCACTACTCAACCCAGTCTGAAAAGTATGATTATTTTATACATATAATATTTTAGAAATGAAATTGTAATTTCTAGAAATTATGTATTTCACAGTATTCAAATTTACTTGCAAAAATATACAATTTTACAAAGGAAATGTGTGATTTAATTAACCTGTAAAAACAACTATACTATACATTACTTAAATTTTAAGTTTTTAGCCACTTTCGTTATACAAATCTATTTATTTATTTTATGTTTCTTTAATGTTGTATATTTTAGATACTTATATGTGTGCAGCTTGCGGAAAATCGTACAAGTCCACAACAAGTTTGTCGCTCCATCGCAGATATTACTGTGGAAAATCTCCATCCATGTCTTGCACATTCTGCTCTTATAGAACCTACCAAAAGGGAAATCTAAAATGCCACATTACAGTACACCATAAGGATAACATGAAGAAAAAACAGTGAGATGTAGGCGACGGGGGGTTTTGAGGAACTTGATCTGTCAAAGTAGATATCGGAATCCAATTAAATAAAGTTGTACCTCGTGGTTACAATACCTGTGATTCATTTAGTAATTTGTATTATTTTTTTACATAATGAGAATAGTTTTTTCTAAGTTTAAGTTAAAAGTTTTTGTCCTGTTCCGCAACTGACTTTAATCAACTTTTAGAAGTTTTCTTATGCAACGACTGTGGAAAACGATATAAATCTAATACCAGTTTAAGTCTGCACAGAAAGTATTACTGTGGCAAGCCTCCTTCCATGCTCTGCACCATGTGTTCATATAAGACTTACCACAAAGGGAATTTGAAGAGACACGTTGTTGTACACCACAACACAAAATAGCTATTTGTTTACTTGTTTTTATTAGAAAAGTTATATTTACTTTTATAAAATTATACTAGTAATAAGAAAATCTTTTTGAGTTATGTTAAAATTGTACGAACTAGTTTTAGATTCTATTCATTTCATTATTGAAAAAAATGTTTGAAAAAGGATGAACTGTTATGTGGAAGATTTAAAAAAGTTGTATGTGTGTACAATGACATTTAATTTTGTAATAAACATCAAACAAAATACTTAAAAGCCTTTTATTCATATGACTGCTTGTTATATTTTAAAGTTGATTAAGTGTGTGCAAATTGCCTTATCTTGTGCGTTTCAGGTACCTATTTCTGTACAAATTGTGGGAAATCGTATAAATTTGCAAGAAGTTTGGCACTGCACCGCAAATATTATTGTGGAAAACCACCATCTATGGTTTGCAGCTTGTGCTCTTACAAAACCTATCAAAAAGGAAACTTAAAGTGCCATATCGCTATGCGCCATTGTGAAAATATAAAAAGGACTTAATGAAATAAAACTGTAAATTTCTGTGTTACTGTTTTTTTTTTTAATATTCCTATTTCTGTAAGTTTTTAAATAAAAGCATAATAGGTAAAACCAATAGGTTTAATAACATTTTTAAAAAAAGAATGACATTTGATTAAACAAATTATATACACCTGATATTTTGTGCTAACTATTATTGTTTTGCAGATGTGCATACATGCGAAAAATGTGGAAATATTTATAAAACTAGGAGAAGCTTATTGCTGCATAAGAGATACTATTGCGGGAAGCTACCCTCAATGATTTGCAATTATTGTCAGTACAAAACTTACCACAAGGGAAATTTAAAAAGGCACATTGTGAAACATCACAATCCTATAGGAATGTGACTATATACAATAATATTGATGATTTTATTTTTAATTTAGTTTCTTTTACAAACTGTTTAACGTTTCTGATATATTTAGTAGAATTCCACAATCTGACGACACTTGAATTATGAAATTTTACACTTTTTTAGCAAAAGTGTTTTTCATAAGTTATCAGTTACTATTATATTAGTTATTTTGTACAAATATAAGAACGCTTTATAAAACTGAAGAAATTTTATTTTGATTCAACTATTCAATTTAAAAATAGTACCCATGTTAATAATCTTTATAAAAAATGTAAAATAACAAACTAAAATAAAAAAGTACAATTGTGTAAATACACTTACACCTATTGTAATATTTAAATAATATTTACAGTACAACTTATATGTAGAAATAAAGGTAATTATTCCAAATAATTTTGCTTTAAGAATAATATGGTATAAATAAGTATACCGAGTGTTCCATTAAAGTCTTCGACCCGCTGTATCTCGAAAACTATTATAGATTTCGGGAAAAAAATTGATGACTAATATGGCCACTAGAATTTAATTTAATTTAATTCAATAAAATTATTTTTAACTTCCAATTTTTTTAAAATACTGCTTTATTTTTAAAAAATCAAATGGAACGATAGATACAACTTAATGTTTTCGAGACCTTTTCATTCTTCAAAATTTTTGTAGGAAAAATTTTGCTCCTTAAAATATAAAGGAAGGGGGTGTGAAAATTATGTCCTACGACAAAAAGTAAGATAATTCTGGATTACGTAAACCGATTTCAATGAAGTTGAGCTTGTTGAAAAGGCAATTGATTGCTTAATCATAGCCTTAAATTGAATTTCAATTTAAAAAAATAAACAAACCGTCAAGTGCCCTTGTTTTTCTAGTGGAAACACACTTGTGAACAAAAGCATATTATAGTCTAATATTTTACCCAGTTTAGTTTAGGATCAAGGGCTATTTCTGTGCAAAATTTCATGAACATTGGAGATGGTCGTCTAGGACCGTTGAGTCAGTTGACACGGAATGACCCTAAATGCATTTAAGAGTGTGCGGTACATGAATATACTACCAGTGTAAATTTTCAACGCAATTACGTTTTAGGTATCGGTTGCCCAAAGTGTGGGAAACAGTACAGAAAAAGAGACTCGCTATACTGCCACCTGCGTAGGGACTGTGGTGTAGAACGGAGTTATACCTGCACTTATGGGTCATGTGTTTACAATACAAGGAGCTACACACCCTATAATTTTAAAAAACATCTTTACAAAATTCACCCTGAGGAGTATTGGAAACATAAACGAAGATTGTCTTAAAGATGTGTTATTTGTAACATTTTTCCTGCTCATCTAACATTGACATACTTTATGAAGTTATTTATCTGTGGTACTGTGTGTAAAAATTGATGAAATAACCCATTGGAATAATTGCAAATACTTCTTTCGCCATTCAACAAAAAAATCGCGGTCTCTTTTAATATTCGGATCTATTTTTTTTGCAGAACCTCCAAGTTCTCTTAGCAGAAAGGTTTATTTCATTAAGTTTTGACAAAATTCCCAATAAATAAGGAATTTAAATTATTCAACATTACATATACACGTCGTGTTATAATGGTTTGAAGTATACAGTACCTTTAACCTTCTCTGTTTTATTAAAATTCAGTCAAATCCATATCTAATATATTTGTAACTATTTTCGAATTATTATTGTACTAAATAAAAATATATAAATACAATGAACACATTTCATTCGGCAGCAGAAATGTAGAACGATATTTTGAGGCATAAGTTTTTTACATTTTTTTTTTGGGAGTGCCATATTACTACAACTGACAGGTATTGTTTAAAATATTTGTTTGTAGTATTTTTTGGGTACATTTAGGAATATTGTTACACACTTTTCTGAAATTTTTAAATTTCTTATTAACTAAATAAATATTATAAATATTATATTCTGCAATATTCCAGAAAAGTCAAGAGTGTAGCAACATTCCGAAACATTAACAAAATTAGACCCTACCAAGTTTTAATATATTTATTTTAATTAATAGATTTCTCGCAATTCCTGAAAACCGAGCAATCTAACATATTTTGTTTTTCAGCAAAGTTTATTTGTACCCGATGTAATAAGGTATACATGAAGGAAAACTCTTTATATTACCACCAACTAAGATACTGTGGAAAACCGCCTACGAACATTTGCCCCTACAAGCATTGCGAATACAAGTCTCACATTAAGTCAAATCTGAAGAGACACTGTCTACTACGACATAATATGGTGTTTGACTAAATCAAATTTTTTGTACGGACTTCTCATCGAAAATGATCGCCTCGAGCAAAGAAAGTTTCTTAATAAATTTGTTTCACAACAGCACCCCTTGATATAATTTTTTTCGAGGCTCTCAAAGGACCATACTACTTTTATGGGGAGCTACTTTTCCTAATAGAAGAAACAGAAAGGATACTGGGGTTACAATTTTCAGTGGGAAAGCCTGTACATCATTAGATTATCACCATCTACAATTGGGAAATAAAGTTTTGTTATCGTATTAGACTCTAGTAAGTGTAATTGTCAGAAGTAGTGAAGTTTATATAAAAAAATAAAATATTGAAAGCGTGTTTGTTTGAATTTTCTAATAATTTATTTATTTCAACAAATAATGTTTTTGGAATCTAAGTGATGGATTTAATAATTAATTACCTAAATGCATCCCAAACTATCTGAAATCGAAGATCTACTTACATAAAATTGAAAGTAAAATAAAATAGTTGAGGTCTTTGGTTATACAGTATGATTCTTAAATTATTAGTATTTCAAAAACTACACAATGCGCATTTTGCGAAGAATTTTATAGGAAATCGTTTCCTTCAATAATAACGTGCCAAATTAAAAACTATAAGAATTAAACAACGCAAACATGGTGCTGGTTTCTTTGTAATCATCCAAAAACCACGAGAATTATGTAACTTCATATTTCCTTTGTAGGTTTCTCTAAGTTGTACTCCTGCAGCTCTTGTAATCGAGCGTACAAATTCAAACGAGGTCTTCTGCAACACCAGAAATACGAATGTGGAAAACCCAAACAGTTCGCTTGTGCCATCGAAGGCTGTGACTACAGAGCCAAAGTCAAAGGGAACGTTAAGCAGCATTTAGTTAAGAAACATAAAATCATGTTCACAACTTATAATTGATGTTACTGGAAAGTCCAAAGCTTGAAAAACTTGAAATGATTTAATTTGTCAAAAAAACTGAAAATTTCTCGATGAAGGCTTAGAAAATATTCATTGAAATCTTCTTCCCATTCAGATAAAGCTAAAACGTTTTGCAGACCTACTACTTTGTGTGCAAGGTGCTTTAATAGGCTATTGATTATCGGATTTTAAAAGGAACGTTCAAGATATTTTATTACATGAATCGTTCAAATGGTCATTTTAGATGAAAAAACCGCGGAGTGCTATTAAGTTAGAGGGTGGAAATTGGAGATAGGGGTGGAAATTGTATCTCGAAAACGAAGCAAAATTTCGTTATAGTTCATAGGAAAAATTATTTATAGAATTGAATTTTCCATCGAAATGGCTTATTTAAAAAATTTGAAAGGGAAATTGTATGCAAAGAATCGTTAATAAACAATTTGAAAAAAAGCAAAAAATTCGATTTTTTATTTTTTTTTGCTTTTTTTGCCTCTAGTTTTTTTTTGAGTAAAGTTAGGTATAGGCATTGTTTCATAAAAAAAGTAGATAAAATTTCCTTCAAAAAAACAGGTTATACAGTAATTTTGGATGAGAATTGACTGATATATATGGCCGCTCAAACGTTTTAATTCTCATTTTTTGCAAAATAGGAAGAATTCGTTCAAGGATTTTCATAACATGACTTATTCGAAGGATCATTAAAAATGAAAAAACTGCGAGGTGCTATTAAATTAGAGGGTTGAAATTGATGATAGGGATGAAAATGCACTTTTGCAGTGTTTTAAATATAGCAGGAAAACGAACCAAATTTCGGTATAGTTCACGGG